ATACATTTATCAATATTCAGAGTGATGCCTTCTTTATTTAGTTTTTCCAAGACTCTTGTGAGGCGTTCCTGATGCTGTCTTTCCATAGACTAGCAGTAGCACGTCATCGATTAGTCCCACGACTCCATCACACCCTCTCAGTATCTCAGAGATCCTCTTCTGAAAGAACTCCGGGGCTGAAGATATACCAAAGGGTAATCGATTGAACATGTATATACCTCCCAAAAGGAGTAATAAAGGTAGTCAGTTTTGAGGACTCAGGCGATAACTCGATTTGCCAGAAACCGGAATTGGCATCCAGCTTGGAAAATACCTTGGCATCTCCCACTTGAGCTAAGACCTGGTCTACAGACAATGAATAATAAACACTATACTTAATTATAATAATGTGATACTGTAATTTTATCACATATAGTTGTATCACTAAATACTTCCTATATCTCTCAAGACTGATTTATACTTGCCACAATACTAAACGCAAATGAGAACAAAATTAATTTTCATCAATTTTGCATCAACTTCAAAATGTATTCATCAAATCATCCATCCTATAATTTTAACTGTTCATTTTCTCAAAGATCTAAAAATTTGTTATGAAAAAGAAAATAACTTGATCCACATAAAAAAGACTAGTGATTAAAGTTACTAGTGATTAAAGTTATAAGTTACTTGATAGTCATACATACATTGTATACTATAGTTCTATTAAAAATAGTGTCTAAAAATTTAGTACGTTCATAAAAAATTAATATTAAAAATAAAATAAAGCAGATTTATACTGCATGGTAATACAAAAATAATTAACATAATAATTAAAACAGCTACAATAAACTGAGCAGATTCACTTGTAAAGTTAAAAGAATGTCTGATTATCGCCAAAATTAACATGCTTTGCTTTAACTCCCATGACATAGCCAGCACAATACTTACCAAAGACATCTATTATACCATCATCAACCAGAACCTAACAAAATAGCATATGCAATAGAACCTCTTTCAACAGACACTCAGCTGATTCTCTCAGTACGTACATCAATTATACAAAATTAATCATTCTATGGTAAATGCATGATGTAACTTACTCTTATACAATAATCAATCTCTCCTTTCTTTATGTAATACAAAGGAGTGTAGGTAGTGAAGCTAGTCTTAAGTTTTTTTTCAGCATTTTTCTTCATCTTTTCAGCAATGCTTATAACTTCAGGAGTAACAGGCATTGGATCAAGACCCTCTGGTGGTGTATCAGGGAGACGGTCTGGTGCAGAGCCTACCATCACTGGGCCCATCAACAACTGATGCACTGCATAGTACAAGGAATGCATAAAGAAAGATCATATATTAAATGATTGAATTTATGCACATGGGCCTATACTACGCTTGAAATTAATAATTCCTGTCAAAGTTTAATAGAAACATCAGCCATGAATTCTATTATGAAATCTAGGCTATAGATAAGGGTGACCTTTGTTGCAACTTAATTGCAACACAAATATGTATGGTATAAGCAACATAATTTGTAAAAATGTCAAGTGATATTGGATTTGGTGACATTAACATTTTTTACATTTTTGGGGCCCACTATGTCAGGTAACTATATGCAAATCCAATAAATATTTCCTTTTATGTCAGGTTCAGTTCAGTACAGGGTTCAGTACAAGGTTCAGTATGGTAGCAGATATTCATTATCATTGGTGGATATCAAAACTCATGATAAAAGTAAACTTATCACAGAAGATTGCATAATCCTTGCAGCAAGAGTTTTAGTTGGTTTATTTTGTTAAGTGATGGATGATTTATTATTGAGGATAACAACCAAGTAGCTGTTTTCCCTTATAAGGAAGGTAAGGCAGATTTCCAATTTTACTCTTGTTGCAAAGATAGTGCAATCTCCTGTAGCGATATACATGTAAAACATTTAATTTTTGACAATGTCAAGTGACATTGGATTTGGTGACATTGGTATTTTTGTATGGTAAGACTGTAAGGTCCTGCATGCATGGGGCACTTTTATTAGATTAACTTACAGCCTTCTTTTAACTTGTCAGCTGCAGCATTCTCATTCATAGATTTAAGAGCATTCGGCAGTGATAAGTCAAAGGTCGTTTCTCCTTTACTGTCAAAATTATCGGCTCTGGACAACCACTTGGAGAGACATTCAGTTAAACAATCATGATGCATTGTGCCATTCTCTCTTTTAATGGCGTCCAGTGTGTTCTTGTGTAGTCCTAGTGTCAGTCCCAGCTCATACCATCTCTCCTGAGAGAAACCACAGCCCTCGAACAGATCAACAACATCAGGCAGTTTATCTATTAAACAAAATAAATTCTGAGTCATCATGAATATATGACTTCACCAATTGTCAACTGATAATAGTAGCGAGGATATTTAGATGCCATTGCGGATTAGCCTAATTTCTAGAGAGAAAAAAGATGCCAGTTGAGAAGAGAAGATGCCAATTGGTTGAAGCGACTCAACTGAGCGACTAAGCTCGTAGTTGTAGTAGTAGTCATGTAAATATGCAAATAAAAAGGGAGGGGCTCATTATAGGAAGCCATAATATTATTTAACCCCAAATATGGCGGCTTTGGATTAATTCTTGATGCATGTATAATCTCTATTATTTATTTATTTATTTATTTGCTAGGTCAATAGATCTATTAAAGAATGTGATGGTGAATTATTATCAGTTAGTAGTATATTTATACTTTATTGTTCTCATCTCTCTCTTTTCCTTCATTTTCTCTCTCGTAGGAGCTTGTAGCCGCCGCTTTAAAAGACTCTCATGTATTTAATGTAAGTAATGTAATACATGTTTATTAATGTATTATTAATTAATTGAATGATAGGGAGCTGCTGAGTTAGCATGTCAGGTTATTTTAGACTCTCCTTATGATGAAATGTTAGCAGCTCACATAAGGTATAATTAATTAATTAATATTTACTATTAATATTCATTATTATTATTATTATTATTATTATTATTAGGGACCTGCCAGTGCTTTAACAAGTTGTTCTTGATTTGCTTTAAAAGTAAAAGCAATATTTATGTTAGTCTTGTGTAATAACTGTAACTTTATACATTAATTGGTAGGTGGAGTCTGTTGCTAAGCAGGGGTCAAGAGGGGCAACATTGTCAAGAGAAAGAAAGAAGGTGAGAGATTGCATGGTAAGAACTGCCGAACAAATATGTACATATACATGTACTTATATTGTGTAGAAAGTTTGAGTTGAGTCTGATCAAAATTGTTTTTGCGAACTTTGAAATTTACCGTCTCAAAAATTGGGCCAAAATCCCTGTACTATAATAGTTTAGGGTCATTGGCTGAATTTTGCTAAAAATGAAAAGGAAAGATTTTTATTTTTATAATTTTTTGATCCATATTCATGTACTTATGTTGTGTAGCAGTTTTGAGCTGAGTTCAATCGAAATTGGATTTTTTACATATGTTAATGTTGTTCAAAATTTGCCTGTTGTACAGGGTCATTGGCCAAATTTTGCCACTTTTATAAAAAATAAATGCATCCACAATTTTTCCAGCTATTGATCAACTGTCATGAACTGATCAACTCATAAACTTTATGATGATATGTTGTATGCTGTTAGTTATCTGATCTTGATTCAGAGACATGAGGTATGGTTGAGAAGATGATGTATGATCACTGAGAGACACCATATCCTCTTCCTCTCCTCTCTTTCCTTTCCCCTTCACCCACGTCTAATGAAAAAAAAGAAGCAAGACATATTGAAGAAGTTAGTACTATTGATGTAAATGAAAATAATATTATTGTTGTTAATTTTAGATTTATGGAACAGCATCCTGAAATGGATTCCTCTAAAGCAAAGATGTCATAAAACAATTAATAATAAATACTATACTTAATTGTAATAATGTGATATTGTTATTTCAACCTTATTACATAGTTGTATCACTAAACACTCTCTGTATCTCTCACAAATCTGGTTTATATTTACTTGCTACAGAATGCATCACAATTCGGAGCAAAATTAAAATTTGGTCAATTTTGCATCAACTTTAAAGTGTGTTTTATCAAATCATTCATGCACTTTTTAACAGTTCATTTAAAATAGTTTATCTTTAAAATTTAGTATGTTAATAAAAAAAGTACTGAAAATAAAAAAGCAGCTCTATACTGGTAATACTAAAATGATAAAAATAATTAATGAAGCAGCTATAATAACACATGTAAAGTTAGAAGAATGTCTGATCATCATCTTCAGTAACAGACTTTGCTTTAACTCTCATGACAGAACCTGCACAATATTTACCAGAAACATCAATTAACTGATCAACCTTCACCTATCAAAAATTTTAGTAATGATGATGGAGTTGAGTCAGTGCATGCAGTTGACTCCCACTGAGCCTCAAGTACATTAAAAAATTGAGTCAATCTCGACAAAAAAGTGATAACCCAACTGCTTAGTACCTGCCTGTATGCAAGCATGGTAAGCATGGACCCCATCATGAGCCCCATAATAAAATTAATGATAGAACTTACTCTTATACAATAATCAGTTTCTCCTTTCTTTATATAGGACAAAGGAGTGTAGGTAGTGAAACTAGTTTTGAGCTTGTTTTCTGCCTCTTTCTTCATCTTTTCAGCAATGCTTATAACTTCAGGAGTAACAGGCACTGAATCAGGGCTCTCTACTGGTACCCTCGAGAGAAGGGCTGGCATAGAGCCTAACAGCACTACGTCCCTACTTTTCAAGAACCAATATTAAATGATTAAATTTGTGCATATGATGTTTGATTGTGTTTATCAGCTGTGAATTTTATTATTGAACTCTAGACTAGCTAATGATGGCATAGATACTGTAAGGGTGACCTTTCTTGCAATGCAATGCAGTTTTTATCATCAATTTAGTGGATAAGCATTATAATTTGAAAAATGTCAAGTGATATTGGATTTGGTGACATTGACATTTTTAGATTTTTGGGGCCCACTATGTCAGGTAACAACATAAATCCAACATACATTTCCTGTCATGCAAGGTTCAGTTCAGTTCAAGGTTCAGTACAATGTGAATTCACTATGGTAGCAGAGATTGATTAGTATTCATTATCACTGGTAGATAACAAAGCTCATCAAAAAAGTAAACCTATTATAACCTATTAAACTTATTAAACTTATAGCTATAGATTTATGCATATAAAATATATAATTTGTAACAATGTCAAGTGACATTGGATTCAGTTGGCAACATTAACATTTTTCAGGTAAGGGTTATTTCATTGGATTAACTTACCTGGGTTTAAGAGCATCTAACAGTGAGTCAAAAGCAACTTCTCTTTCAGCATTATCACGAGCTCTGGACAACCGGAAGCACTTTATCAAGCAACAGCACACTGTTTTTGTGTCGTTCATAGGATTCTCATTCATAGATTAAAGAGCATCTGCCAGTGAGTCAAAGGTAGCTCCTCCTTTACTGTCAACATTATCAGCTCTGGACAACCACTTGGAAAAACATTCAGTTAAACAATCATCTTTTGAGTCATTGTTCCTTTTAATGGCATCCAGTGTGTTCTTGTGTAGTCCTAGTCTCAGTCCCAACTCATACCATCTTTTCTGAGGGAAACCACATCTCTTCATACGATCAAGTACAACAAGTTGATCTATTAAAACAGATCCTTGTTACAATATATATATAGTCAATGAATATTACCCATTGTCAAATGAGAAGAATCAGGAGATAAACTTAGAGATGCCATTGCCGGATGCAAACTGCTCATAAATAAAATTAATAATAATGCATGCAAAAACAATAACAAACAAATGATAACAAATGATAACAACACATAAATAATATCATCATTTTTATGAGTTGATCATGCAGTAAATCAATAGCTGGAAATCATTTTTAAGCTTGGTGGTATAGCTGTTTGATGGTAGATGATAATGACTTTAATACTGAAATAATTATCACAGCTTCTTAACTCAACCAATGCGTTTATCTGGCATCCATCATAACTAATGTTAATGACAGTGTTTTTGGTGTATGCGCATACACTGATAATGGAGATGGAGAATTGACACTGAGTTATAGTTTGGTACTAATGAGACAGACTTGCTTTCCATCAATGAGTGATAGTGTTATTGGTCTTAGTCTGTTTGTAGGTTCATTGTGTATTTTACTAGCTATCAGTATTGTTATTAGTATCTTCTGCTTTATAAGGTATAGTTTACATTTTTATAAACAAAAATATATTATTGTTTTCCTGTAGAAAGAATGTAAAAAGTCCATGCATCATTAACAAGCAATCAAAGTTAGCCTATTTTATCATTTCTTACCATACAGCAATTTTACTGATAAAAATTGGTAAGAACTGCCAAACAAATATGTACATATACATGTTCTTATATTGTGTAGAAAGTTTGAGCTGATTCTGATCAAAATTAAATTTTTACAGTTGCTTCAAATTGGGCCAATTGAAGTCCATGTACTATAGTACAGGGTCATAGGTCATAGTAGTAACTTGATGTACAATCATTAAAAAGTGTGTAAATAAAGGTTGCTGTAAGCATTCAACAGTAGTACCTGAAAATCTATTGATGCTGTAATTAAATGATAATCAAAGTTCAGGTGTATGACTTAAAGTATAAACAAGCCATTGCCTCATTTAATTAGCAATATAAGTATATACAATGAAATATGTTTAACCAAGTATGAAGAAATGTCTTAAAATTGAATTCTAAAATGTCAAGTCAAGCAAGATTTGCCTCAGATTTAAATAGTCACAAAACTGCAGCACCCACAATTGTTTCCAGCTATTGATCTACTGATCAACTCATAAGCTTTATGATGATATGTTGTACCGTATTTTGTTAGTTATCTGATCTTGATATCTTTCAAGCCTGATTTATACTTGCCACAATACTCGATGCAAATGAAAGAAAAATTAATTTTCGTCAATTTTGCATTAACTTCAAAGTGTGTTTCGATCATCAAATCATCCATGTACTTTTTAACTGTTCATTTTGTCTCCATATACAGGCTCTAAAATTTTTTATCAAAAAAATACCGTATAGTGGGTTTTTTTGAGGATAATGAATTTTGCGAATGACCCGTATCCGGAAGTTCACAGAATTAATTTTCACGAATTTTCACTATTCTGCCATTTTGTACTGTATTAAATTGATTTTCAAGGAGTTTAATTTAGTCAATCCTGAAAAATCCGCAAAATTCGCCAAATTTGTTATCCTCGAAAAAAACCACTATACAGTAACTTGATCCACATAAAAAAGAACAATGATTAAAGTTATGAGTTACATGATAGTCTTACATACATTACAATTGCATTGCATACTATAGTTGTACTAAAAATAGTGTATCTTAAACATTTAGTATGCTAATGAAAATAAAAAAAGCAGATCTATACTGGGGATAAAAAAATACTGTTAAAATAATAATTAATGAAGCAGCTATAATAATAAACTGGGCAGATTTAATGTAAAGTTAAAAGAATGTCTGATCATCATCTTCAGTAACATGCTTTGCTTTAACTCTCCTGGCAGTACCAGCACAATATTGACCACAGATATCTATTCTACCACTATCAACCATAACCTAACAAAAAAAGTATGTATGGAATAGAACTTCTTTTAACAGACACTCAAAATTATAGCCAATTCTCTCAGTACATCAATAAATCACTCCACGATAAAGGACTGCACGTACTATAGCTATTATACTGCATGAATGATGTAACTTACTCTTATACAATAATCGATTTCTCCTTTCT